TTTAATTTGAAACAAGTCTGCAAATATAATGTTTTATACGTTATGTCCAGGATCTCATTGGCGTGGGCAGCAAATTGAAATTGGGGGGGGGGGGGGGGGGGGGGGGGGGGGGGGGGCTAAGTGTAAAACAAAAATTTTATACCTTCAAAAAAACCTGACAAGCAAAAAAAGAAAATGTCCATTTCCAAAACACGAAAATCCTGGGGGTTGTGGTGGGTAGGTTCCAACTTCAGTACCAAATTTTTTTTTCAAACATCACCACTTTCCCCCATTTCTAAGTAACACTGCGACGTGTCTGTGTCCATAGTGGGGGGGGGGGGGCTAAACCTACGCTGCAATGTTCAATGTCTATACTAAGTACTATATATTTGGAAAAAAAGTGGGGGCCCCCCCCCTCCCCCAGTTCCGACGCCTATGAATCTTGACGTGAGCCCATTGCAGAGGTGTCTGAGAGAGGGACAAACGACAACTCTGCGTGGGAGATTGGTGCTATTTGCGAGGGGATGTTCCGCATTGCGGTTTCCTTGTTCTTTTTTTCCATATGTACAAAAACTTCTTATATAATTATTGGGTATGTCGTCACAATACATGTACATTATGTATAGAAATCAATTGTGACGTCACAATGCGATGACGTTTTATCTGTTATTCTTTTGTGTTGTGGCAACACATTTGTTATACATTTGTATTCAGATTTTACAAAATTACAATGAAGCGAACAATTGACCAACCAAAGCATCTATACGCAGCAAAGAAGGTAAATTTGATTTTTTTTATCAAATTTATTAAAGTGTTTTTATTTCCATGAATCATGATTGAAGAAGCAAAGAATTTATCAATGTTAGAATTATTTATGAATTATTTTTCTCGTCAACAATGGGAAATATTTTCTTAAAAAAGCGTTAAATTTTTAGGCACGAGTTGTTGATGTATATGGTAGATTGATCGAATCGGTGAGTACTATCTTCTACAATGAAAAAATTATAAGTAAATTAAAAAATGTTGTTTGTAAATTACTGCGATTTTTCATCGGTCATTTTTCATGCTAGGGATTTTTGATGCGCCCTTTTAAATTCACCAATATCTTATTAGAATGAGATGTTAGATTTGCTCGCATACTCGCTTCACTCTTTAGTATAGCGAATGTGCAAGCGGACCTATTAACATCTCATTTTAATTAGATTACAAAGGATGGGCGGCGAATTGTTTGAGGTATGCTTAAAATGAATTCTTTATTATTTTTATATACAGATGGACATCCAAGAAGACGGAATTTGGTTTACTAAAAAAACGGGCAGACAAACTCCTCTTACAGCGGTAAAAAAACGTTGCTAATTGCTGCATCAGATGTAGATTGTCAATGAAAAATTCTATCATGTATATACTGTCAGTGCAAATATATGTATACAAAACAGAATTATTAAGGTAGATAAACTCGTGCATCTTCAGATAACAGACTCGTCTGATATCTGAAGATACACTTGTTAAAAGGTACTCTATATATTACTTAAATACTCAGTATACAGACATATATAGTATTGTTTTTGAAAAGGACACTCAAAAAATAATTTCTTGATTACCAACAAATTCTTGAGCAAGCGCCAAAAACAGGGAAATTACAAATAAAAACTATTGTATGTGTAAGGTGTGTGTGTGTGTGGGAGAGGACTTAGGTTCCAATTTTGAGCAGAATTAAATTTCTATAGATATTACTTAATCCTTATTTGAATTATATTGTAACCCCAAAAATGGGAGGGGGGGGGGGGGGGGGGGCTGATCGTTTAATGAACACTTTCAATAGTTAACGATGCGTTAGAGAAAAAACACACAGGCGCTTAATTGATTTTTTTTACCTTTCTTTTCATAATAAAAAAAGTCCTCTAATACTATAATAATAGTATTATAACTAGTATAGTATAGGATTTTTTTTATTTATGAAAAGGTAGGTTAAAAACGTCAAGTACCTGTGGGAAAAAACGTGTGTTTAAACAATTGTATTTCACGTATAACATTATGTCTGTATAACACACATCATAATTTCAAACATGACGTTATAAACTAAGAAATCTGAGCAACGTAACAAGAACATCGTTTCCCGTTATTGCAGGTGAGAGGGAAAATAAACAGAAGAAAGGACCCTCCTCAACCAATCCCTATGGCATGTAGTTCTTGGGTACTGAAAAGGAACCGTCCTTTTGAAAAAGAGAGTCAGTACTCACTGAAAAAGGTAAGACCGGTAACTGAATGTGATATGTCTTATTTAAAACAAAAATCACATGTTGATTTCTATTGTTTCAGACATCATATAAATTGCCTGATATTACAAATCATCTACACTTTATAATACTACCGCAGCAATTTTGTTATCTATTCTGTATTTTTTCTGTAATGCGAAGTTTTTTTTTTTTAATTCTCTTAAAAATTTCTACTTGAATATTCTTTTTCAGACCAAACACACTGATGAAAATGGAAAATGTTTAAATACAGTAAGATGTGTTTAATGTTTCATATAATTATTACTTTAAACGAATGTTTGACACGACTCTAAACATAGTTTCTAACACTATTTAAATTTTATTCATTTTGCAGATGGATATTTTCGCCGTTTGTTTACAGTTCAGTCGGCTGTCAGTGATATAAAAACGTGGATGACTGGAAAATATGACACATGCAGACGATCATCGTGATTTATGAATCATTTGTTTGTTATTTATTTATTTTTTAGCTCACCAGAGCTGAAAGCTCAAGTGAGCTTTTCTGATAACCCGATGTCCGTCGTCCGTCCGTAAATAAACTTTTCACATTTTCAACTTCTTCTCAAGAACCAATGGCCAATTTTAACCAAACTTAGTACATGTACGAAGCATACTTGGGTGAAGAGGAATTTAGATTGTTAAGATGAATTTACAGAGAAACAAATAGGAAAAATCTTCTCAAGAACCACAGGGCCAGGAAAGCTAAAATTTATGTGGAAATATGCTTGGTTAGTGTACATTCTATATTGTTAAAATCATGACCTCCTGGGAGGAAAGGGAATCCAAATTTTACATAGACATGTACAGGAAAAAATCTTTAAAAATCTTCTTCTTGAGAACCATTGGGCCAGAAAACCTGACACTTATGTGGAAGCATTCTATTGTAGTTTAGATTCTAAATTTATTTATTAAAATCATGCCCCAGGGGGGGGGGCATTATAGGTATAACAAAACGGGAAATTTGGTAAAGAACTGAAACCCAAAGTTACTCAGGTGAGCGTTATGGTCCATGGGCCTCTTGTTATTTGTTTAATTTGTTTCTGTATTTTTAGGGGGGTATTACTATTTTTTATACACTTATATCGTATTAAAAAATTATTATCTCAGCCACTCTGTACTTTTACTTACTTCAAATCTGTGGTCTTGTTTTTTATTTAAAAAATATGAACACTAAAAGAATGGGAAGAGGAGTTTTCCTCGATAATACCCCCGATTTTGAGTCTTGCCAAAGGTTGTACGGTGATAATGGTAATCAATCTTTAATCAATAGAGACGCGTTTGACAGTTTCCATTTGTAACATTAAATACATGTAGTTTAAAGGAACGTGGCAACGGTTTCAAAAGTAGGGACCCCCCCACCCCCATCTAATTAACTGTCCGAATTCTGAAATTTGCCAGTGCTCGACCCTACAGAAACAGAAGTAAAGGGGGAGGAGGCAGCGAGCACCTGAATGAACAATAATTATAGCAAAATACTATACTCGGAAAAAAGCCCCCCGTTCTACGGGCCACATGTGTATTTGATATATAGTTTTCACACACTTTATTTGGAGCATAAATAACAAAATAACTGTGTATGTACGTTTTTACATATTCTAGAAAATTTTGTGTAATAATGAAAGTAAGAATAATTTAAACGCCACATGCCAATACACTTTCTAGTATTACAAAAAGTCAAAAATTAGTATCATCTGAATACAAGCATTGAAAAAGTCCAACGCTCGTACACAGGTGAAGTTATCTATGATAAAAATCAATATACAGTGTACTACAAATCTATAGGTTGTGTGCACAGTACACTATCTCTCTACAGATACCCTGGGCCAATTAAAATTTAAACCTTCTCATAATTGTCCACACTCCCCATTCTTTACTACCCAAAGAGATTGCCATTAAGAGAGTTTTAGTGATCCTATGATACAACAGGGATCTTGAGGCTAGTCTACATTCTAGGAATATACAATTTTTTAATAGTTTTTCACAAAATTTCACTTTTAAATAATTATTGAGGAGGAGTACATAACTTCTACATCATACACAAAATAGCTATTAATAATAATTCACGCTGTAATTTAACTTTTATTTTAACTTTGACTATGAGTACATTAACAAATAAGAAAAAAGATGTCTTTCATTCTCATATTACCTCTATTAATTAAAGAAATGAAATTTACTATAACAAAACACATCCATGCATACTTATAATTTCTTTTCATGAGTTTGGCATACTTTAATTAAAGAGTAAGCTTAAGTTTGAAAATTAACTTTAATTTTGATAATGGTATATACATTTACAAAGATGAAAATGTTCAATTTTTATACATATATTTATTTTAATATTCACAGATAATTCATTTACAAATATAATTATAAATGAATCCCTTAAAGAAAAGAAAAAAAAATTATGTTAAAAAAAACACACATGCTTTTTTAGGTAGAAATAATCGGGTACATAGATACATCTCCAAAAATTAAGATACTGTCTTCACACTTTCAGAAAGATACATGAACATGTATATAAGAAATTCAGCAAAATAAACTAAAGTACACCGTAATCTCTATAGAAAAATGATATAATAGTATATATGTACATGTAATGAATGTATGTATTCAAAGGGGTGGGGTGGGGGTATTTAAACAAATAAAGAAATAAAAAAGTTAAACAAAATCTTAATAATGTTGAAAACAAGATATGTACATGAAGGTAATAAATACACGAGTATTTACAAACTTTAAGACTTTTGCATAATTAAGAGTGGAATGTTGCTAATATAGCAAGTAGTCTCTAAAGCGAGACACAATCAAAGTGTTCAACACACATCATATAAATGCAACATCCCTGATACATATTTAAATACAAGTATAATTAATTGGGTTAATTAGAAGACAATGTTGAACAATATAAACTTCAAAAGGTATACACATTATTAATATGTAAGATCCACACTGAACAACAATAATAATAATAATAATATTTTTCTCTGCATTGTTAAGGCTGAGGGTCATCCTCCTCTATAAGACAAATATCGTCATCCTCTACTATAAGACAAATGTCGTCAGCCCACAAGTCAACAGCTGCCCATCGTCACCGTTTAACCAAGCTCGGGTCTCGTATTTACCCTTGTAATAAAATAAAAAACAAGATGTGTTTGTGAAAGACTGATGACCCAGTATGGCAACATAGCTAAGATTAAACTTTTCTGAAATGCAAATTAAATATATTGGTACCCAAAGTAAGGTCTTCGCACAAGAAATACAATTGTGAAACATGAAAGCCCTAGCACCACCTGTTCAAAACTTATGGCCAAGGATAAGTATTAGAAAGGTAGGTCAAACTCCAAGGTCAAGGTCAAAGTTCTTGATTTCAAATAAAGGTCTTGTCACAAGGATTGAATATTATGAAGAATGAAAGCCTTAGCCCTAACCCTTCAAAAGTTATAGTCAAGGTTTGTTTTTTAAAAGTAGTCAAACTACAAGGTCATGGTCAATGGCTTAAAGTTCTTGTTATCCAATGAAAGGTCTTTTCACAAGAGTTACATATGTGAATTACGAAAGCCCTAGCTCTTACCGTTTAAAACTTATGGCCAAGGTTAAAGAGTTTTCAAAAGTACGGAAATATCCAAAGTCAAGGTCAAATGTAAAAATTGTTGGTACCAATTGAAAGGTCTTACCACAAAAAAAAAGATGTGTTTGTGAAACACTGATGCCCCCGTATGGCAACATAGCGAAGGTCAACCTTAAATATGTTGGTACCTAAAGTAAGGCCTTTTCAGAAGAAATACAAATGTTAAATATAAAACCCTAGCACCACCAATTCAAGGCTTAAGACAAAGGTAAACATTTTTAAAGGTAAAAAAAACTGCGGGGTCAAGGTCAAAGGGTCAAGGTTGTTGCTTTCTAAAGAAAGGCCTTGTCTCAAAGATTACATATGGGAAGTATGAAAGCGATGGCCCTTACCGTTCGAAAGTTATGGCCAAGGTTAAGTTTGTAAACATTACTTCAAACTCCAAAGTCAAAGGATCAAGATCCTTGATATCCAATGAAAGGTATTGTTACAAGGATTACATATGTGATACATGAAAGCTCTAGCCCCTACTGTTCAAAAGTTATGGCCAAAGTTAAAGTTTGTAAAAAGTAGGTCAAACTCCAAGGTGAAGGTCAAAGTTGTTGATGTCCAATGAAAAGTCTTCTAATAAGAATTATATATTTGAAGGATGAAAACCTTAGTCCTTACCGTTCAAAATTTAGGGCCAAGGTTAAAGGTTTTTTTCTAAGTTGGGAAATCTCCAAGGTCAAGGTTATAAGGTCAAAATTGTTGGTTTCAAATAAAAGGTCTTGCCAAAAAGAATTGATATTTGAAATATGAAATTCCTAGTACCTACCGTTTAAAAATTAGGGCCAAAGTAAAAGTTTGGAATTTTTGTGTAAAAGTTGGTCAAATGTCAAGGTCAAAGGGTCAAGGTTCTTGACATCAAATGAAAGGTCACAAAGATTAAAGGTCAAAGGGTCAAGGTTCTTGACATCAAATGAAAGGTCACAAAGATTAAATATGTGAATTATGAAAGCCCTAGTTCTAACCCTTCAAAAAATATATGCTCGAGGTTGTATTTTAAAGTAGGCCAAATTCCAAGGTCAAGGTCAAAGGGTCAAGGTTTTGGTATCCAATAAAGCGTTTTTTCACAAGAATTACATATGTGAAACATGAAAGCCCTAGCATTTACTGTTCAAAAATTATAGCCAAGGTTAAAGTTTTTTCATAAGTACAGAAATGTCCAAGGTGAAGGTGAAGGTTTTTGGTATCCAATGAAAGGTCCTTCCACAAAGGATGTGTATGTTAATTTTAAATGTCCTGGTATCTACTGTTCAAAAGATATTGCCAAAGTAAAAGTTCGAAAGTAGTTTAAAAGTAGGTCAAACTTCAAGATCAATGTCAAAAGGTCAATTTGGTGGTACCCAAAGAAAGGTCTTGTCACAAGGAATACACATGTGCAATATGAATGTCACAGCTCCACTTAATCAAAAGTTTTGGGCAAGGTTAAAGTTTTTGTGGACAAACAGACAGAAAGACGGACGGACACAACAAAAACTATATACCCCCGAATCTTCGATTTCGGGGGCATAAAACATAATTTGAATTTGCGATTGCCTACTCCTGGTTAACGGCCAAAATAAGACTGTATTTATACTAAGTAACTATGGCACGAAAATCTGGAGAGGATCTAAGTTTTGGCCGTGGTTTTACGACAATATGTAGTAACTGACACAAATTTTACAGTATTTTGCCGTTAATATGAGTTAAGAGCCCCCCCCCTCCCCATTCCCACCCCGTTATGGGAGTCGGGCTAAAGCGATCAATCAAAATCTCTTTCTTGACACCATCACTTGCGTTATAGATGCATGGATAGAACTTTATAAAAGCCTAAACTAAAACAATTTAAAGTGCTTGATTTAATACACTTTAATTTTTAATCGTAATCAATCACGCTTTATTATTCGTAAAAAAAAAATGATTCCATGAGATGATCTTTACCATAGATGCGGAGTATCATTGCAGTTAAAGATCACAACTATGTGGTACATTGGTAATATTTTATTTTGAGTGTATTGTCCATGAAGACAATAAACTTCCCTGTTCTAACGGATGCATGTACATCTAATTTATCGGTTTCTTTTTTTATGTGTCAAAATGTTTTGTCTGTCCCGTCCGTAAACTCAAAGAATGATGATTGAAGTCTTCGTGTGTTGTGCCACAAATTAAATCTTTTGTCATCTTACCTTTGGAATGAACTTTGGAATCTTTTTGTCGGTTGCCCATGAGTAAAACCCCGGTTTGTAAGGGCAGAATACTTGACGAACCTCTTGGTTTTCATCTATCGTACAGAACTCCCAATGGTTGTCATACAGATCTTTACCATTATATTTGACATCTACGAGAAACTCCCCTTCTGTCAGTGGTTTCTCTGAAATATAATCCCATTTGCACGATCATTCAAGCAAACCTGAAGGCAGCTATATTTTGAAAATATCTTGTGTAAAAAAGCTTTTTCTCTTTTGAATGGTTCACGGGAACTTGCTAGTTTATATCTCTGGGTGAAACAGAAAGCTCTATTCAAAGAATTTTGTGACTTCTACGTTAAACATTTCATTAGTAATCCATATCTTAGTTTGCTCAAAAACATGTTAAACATATACTTATCTTTTTTCAACACATATTCATACATGTACACACAATCTTTTTTAAGATCATTACAGTTTTTATATATTTTGATTTGATGGGTTCTAGGATACATAAAACATAACCTAGGTTTGATGTATACAAGATACGACTTACCTAAGGTGATGTTGATGAAAGTTCTAACTTTAATGCCTCCAGTTTCTGGGTCGGGAAGCATTATTGCTTTTCCAATAGTAATTCTATCTTTGTTATCTACATGGATATAAAAACAAAATAAGATCAAAAGATTATTCCATATACCACTGAACTAGTACCCAAAGACTATTTAAAATAATTAATTGGTCAAATTCTCACCACATGAGTTATATACGTCTCCAATGCCCACAAATTTATTATCGTCCACAAATTTTTGCCAGTGTTTGGCAGAACGAACACTTTCGGACTCTTCTTCGTCCAGTTCTTCAGAATCCAGTTCTATGGCATTTTGAGGTTTCAACACTACACGTCTGTTAGCTTCCATAATCTCAGAAGGTGGCCCATGATTAAACATTGTCATGTAAAGGGTAAACATAGAACAAAAAAGTGTCATTATAGTTAGTGCTATGATTAAAGGTACTTTCCTCACGTTCATCATTTTTACGGTTGGACGTTTACAAATACCTTTCAAATTCATCAGTTATGTCATAATTCCATCCAAAAAATATTCTAGAAACTATCTGTAAAAAAATTCCTTTCAAAGATTTTTTTATCAAGCTTCTCGCTCCTAGAACTAAGCCAACTAAATCGGTGAGTTCACTGTAATTAAAACAGATTTGACAAGTGCCCCTCCTGATCAAAATACAGAAATTATAAAAGTCACATGCTTAAATGTCCATCCGGTTAACAGTGGACATTTGACACCGTACCAGTTTCTGTCGAAGCAAACCAAGGGACAATCCTGTAATCAATCCTCTATCAATATTGTTTGATCATCATCTATCGATAACGTTATCCCAGATAGTAGTTATCTGACTGTCATGTACTAGTATTAAAACCACAACTACATTTTGACAGAACACAGTGATGGCCGTTAAATGGGCCAAGGTTTAACTACGTGTATCCATTTCGATGAACTTGAAGCAAACATACTTAGTTTTACAAGTAGTTCTACTAACATACTTGCTAAGTGATATACAAAAAGGTTTAGATCATATGATTATTTGTCTACAAACTTTCAAATTAAGACATTGTTTAATGTACTACGTACTGTACTGCTACTTCTGCTGGACGGTAAAAGACGTCCAATTACCCCTACTTAGTACTCTATTAGTAAACTATTATAAACAATCAAAGGAGTCAATATTTTTCAACTTTTATTTTCAATTCCAACTTTTTACATGTAGTTCACAAAGAGAAATTGACATAGAGATACAGATTGATACAGTAAGCTTTATTATCTGATATTTATCTGATTAGGGCTATTGTCCTTGTAAATAAGGTTGCGTCAATGACAGGTCACATTCATTTTAGATAGATAAAGTTGCCTATCAATATAATATAAAGAATCTATGTTAAAATTCCTGAACATTCAGCATGAATATTCTAACAAAAAGGCCAAGAAACACCAAATTTGTTTTTAATGAAGTACCTTATACTATAAGACGTCAAAGTGGTAATATTGTTAGATTTGTAATTTTTCTGTATTTGTGCATGTACCTGAAATGTAACGTGGCTGATCACAAATGTCCTCATTATTTGAGAGGTGTCGTTTTTCTAGGACCCAAAGTCATTTATATACATTTTTTTCTGATTCTGAACTCCAATTTATAATTTTATACGTGTTCGGGACGAGGTGCAGGAGGGATTCATAGCCCAGCTCTCTCTCTCTCTCAATAACAGGCGCCAATAACTGTCAATGTACTAATTTTACATTCAAATCGTCATGTCACCAATAAATTATGTCATTGTTTACCTCGATATACGTGAAATATTGCACTATCTATAGAAACATCGTTCACATCAACATGTTTTGCTCATAATATCAATGCAACATAACAAATAGTTAAACTAGATACACTGTTCAGATCTACAAAACAAATTCTGCGAATCCACACATAAGGACTTCTTCATTTTCATCTGTTAATCTCGCTGTGGCTTTATAGGTACCCTAGAATTAATTATATAAGCACAATAAATAATTAAGATTAAAAAAAAAACGGTGAAAATATGCGTAAACCATGATCGTAAAGAGCTAGGTTCACTTTATCCATTAAACGGTCCTGTCTCTTAAATGATGAAGACCCAATGTCCCATTTCAAATATATCAATATAAAGTAGGGAGTTAATGCCTTAATTTTCTACAAAAAAGTTTCTTCTGCTTGAAGTCCAAGAATAGAAAATTTAAACACACTATGAAATTGTAATGTTCTTGAATTACGAAGAAATTTGGTTTATTTGAGTATCTTCAGTCCTTAATTATCAGGTTTTATGCTTCAGCATAGAAATGAAATATAAAACATTCCTGGATCCCAAAAATAAAATATGAATGATAATCTTCTGAAAAAAGTCCTTTCAGTATACAGTGTGTATAATTGAACATTTTTGATCAGAGGTTAAGATCTAAACAAAATATTTTGAAATTAAAAAAAAAACTGCAATTTTTGGTCATTTATAACAGAATTTTTTTCATCATTTGAAGATAATAATACAATTCATGACATCATAATACAGATACTAGCATGAAAAATGTGTCATTTTTAATAGAAATACAGTCATCAAGGGTTCAAATGATGATTGATTTATATTATCAAGTAAACTGGGCAATTTTTTTCAGATGGCCCAAATATATCCTACGTCAACCTTGTTCATTATCCAATATTACATGTATTTCCAAAATCTTTTCCTATTTTTTTTTCATTTTTTTTCCAAATTAACGAATGGATCTTTGTATCACATTCAACGTTTTTATGGGATAAGAGTGTCTTTTTGGGGATTGGGCTATTTGGACACCACCATTTGCCGATGTAGTGCTCGGCAACGAGGACCATTGAGCAGGGATATTTTTCGTGCCAGCACCTACTGTGACACAGGACTTTGGTTTACACGGTCTCATCTGAAGGACCGCTCTCCACATTCCATAGTGGTATTCAAACCCGCGACTAACCACTGAGCCACGCGGGCGACAATTTCCGGTAGAATATGAAGAGAAGATACTTTTTTTTACCTTAGGAAGATAATTGGGTATTTTCCGGTCTATGACCCAGGAGTAACTTCCGGGTTTGTACGGACAGAAGATCCATCGTTCTTCGTCATCCTCGTCCTCCTCCATCTCACAAAACTTCCACTTATTCTCGTACAGATCTTTACCACCATAACTAACACTCAGGAAAAATTCACCGTCATCTAAGGTTTTCTCTTCAAGTAAATAAATACAAAATTAAATAAATAAATCAGACAATCAATCAATCAATCAAAATCTTGAACTGAAAGTCATTTTTTTCAACAGATGGATATATATTATTTTGGAATTCCTTCGAGATTTTTTTTTTTACTTTTTTCTATCATTCTGTTATTCCTTCAGAACATCAACATACATGAATCTATCAAAAAAAAAATTTTAATTAAAAATACATAAAAATCAGCTCTGTTGAAATTAAGTCGTGCATTTTAATTAGATACAGTGGACCTTCAGATATCCGGATAAATGAGGCTCCACTATAAATGGATAAGAATCACTTTTGTTTGAAACCAAATACTGTAAAATCACAATTTCGTTATTTTCGAGGTAAAAAATTAATCCTCGAATTTACTCCCACCACAAATATAAAATTTCTTTTGTATACTTTTCCAACACTTTCAAATCACGAAATCAAATTAATATTCTTCTGTTACGCTTTTATCACAGGTCGTGGACCTCCTATACCCAAGGGATCAAGAATTTAACAATTTGACTTCACCCTAAGCGGATACTTCGATATCAATATGACTCGTCGTGGCTCTGTTGATCATAAGTAGATTTTTCTTGATATACATGAAAATGTATAATGTAAAACCTCGATCGCAGATTGTGATCCTGAAGAGCTATTTGTTTAACATCCTTTCGAGGGCTTTTTACGCATACGAGACGCAAACACTTGCCAGTGGAGGGTTGCAAAACACCTTTACACGACAATTTTGGGCCTTTGAGCAGTGTGGGATTTTTTTTTCCGGGTCAGTACCAATTGCGACAAGGGAATTTGGTTTAATTATAGTCTCATCCAAATCTGGGTCTCCACGTACGATCTCCACTTCCCCCAGTGTGATTCGATCGAACCCGTGACGTAAGGATCAACACCCTACTCTGCAACTCTAGAGCAAAAGCTCCACCAACTGCGCCACGCAGGCGATACGATGAAGAGTAACATGCTTGCTATTTGAGACGTTAAACATTTACTCGAGGTTTTCATGATGTTATTGAAGAACATCAGAAAATCCTTCTTGTCATTTACCAACATAGAGCCGATTTTTACTATACACTCCTATGAAAATTTTTGATTGCCCCCTGTGGCCCCTACTTTCTTCAATGCTCATGATTTGAACAAATGTGGATCTATAATACTACCCAAAGGTGCTTCCATATATAAACGATGGATTGCCTAAGGCTTGGCAAGTTTGGATTAAATTTGCCCGATGGTTCTGGGAAAGTATAAAATGGAACCAAAAGTCTCTGTCGAGACTGAACCTCTACTGGTTTAGACTTATAATAAAGGAAGAGAAAAGTAGCAGTTGGGATTTGAAACATTACAACAGCAATAAATAGAATAATGATCCTTGATTAAGTCTTTTTGTGGCAATATATTGCAATAAGACTACAACTGTAGGAGTGGCTTTTAATAAAATGTTACAGTATTTTCAATTTTAGTTACCATGGCAACATCAATCATAAAAAAAACCACAGTAAAGATTTGTATCTCAGTGTAGTCTACTTTTATGCCACATTATATTATAAGCAGACTAAAACTGTATATGGAGTAGCATTTTTGAGAGTATTTTACAGAAATTTCTATTTTTAGTAACCCGGCAACAATGTTCATCAAAATCAAAACCCGATTAACAGAATTATTCTTCTTAGTGTAGTCTACCTGTGTGCCAAGTTATATATTGAAATCAGAATCAAAACTGTAGGAGGAGTGGCATTTTTAAAGTAATTCACAGAAATTTCTATTTTTAGTAACCACAGCATGCAACACTGTTCATCGAAATCAAATACCTATACACAGAAATATGTATCTTAGTGTAGTCTACTTGTGTGCCGAGTAATATTGAAATCAAACCAAAACTGTAGGAGGAGTAGTATCTTGAAAGTATTTCACAGAAATTTCTATTTTTAGTAACCACGGCAACACCATTCGTTGAAATCAAAAACCGAATTATGTACATTGTATCTTAGTGTAGTCTACTTGTGTGCCAAGTTATATTGAAATCAGACCAAAACTGCAGGAAGTGTAGAATTTTGAAAAATTGTTTACAGACAGACAAACAGACGCCGGGCTATCGTTTGAGCTCTTCTGGTCTCTGACCAGTAGAGCTAAAAATGTACCGACGATAATCGACAAGAGCAAAAGAGCAAAAAAATATGCGGAAAACAGTTCTGTTCTGACATTAACAGGGCCGCCATTGGTTAATATATTACTATTGTAAATTTCATGTAGTAATGTTTTATGCGTGAATGTTCAATTCATACACCTACATGTATGAGGCTGGCTAGGCTTGCGCCACAGAAGGGCTGTCCTGATTAAAATTGCTGAAGTAACGATAAAATGGAGAAATGCCTCAGACAAGTGTGTAGACTTTGGAGTAAAATGAAGCCATTTTTTTTTTTACAAGTTTAATTAGACATATTCAGCGTTCGCATACATGTACTTGAGACAGCAAGTCGACTACTTTACAATTCAATAATCGTCCATTATAAAAGTTCTATCGATAAGTAGTTCCAATATTTTATATATAATAAAACGTCATTACTTTGTTGTCTCTGAACATTTCATAACAACTACAACGTATACTTACCAAATGTTACATTTAAAAAAGTTTTTGATGTAACACCGCCTCTTCTTTTATCTGGTAGAATGATGGTTTTACCTAACCATTTTCTACCGTCTTCCTCTGAAAAATAAATTGAAGACGCGTTTCATCAATTGATTATATGTTTGTCAAAATTTGAATATAACCTGCTGTTACACAGGGTTTGATAAAACTTTGTGTGCAGTTCAACCTGCACCCTTAAAATAAGAGTTTTCAATGGATATGGTTATACATATTTTGCAGATGCTTACCACAACTATCGTAGATATCACCAATGGAGACGTAATGATTAGCCTTCATAAATGAATCCCAAGCCCGAGCCGACCTTAGAACCTCTTCATCGCCATCCCCAGCTAACACACGGTCCAGATACGCATTTGTCCTTGAGTTAGCAGAAAGGATTTTTTCAGGGGGTCCATGATTGAAAAACGTCATGTAAACGATTATTACAAATATGACAAAAACAAATAAGCACATATACGATGTTCTCCGACAATTCATTTTTGTTGATGCCATTCAAGTGCATAGTTGATGGGCCCCGTGCAACCTCATCAAATATGGAGGACAGTTTTGAACCTTGTACCTAAACATAGTTCTATCATGATACACATGGCTTACTCATCGAGTGGTATATTTTACAGTGATAAAGAATATGACCAGATTATCAAACCACCTGGGCTATGTTTCACAAAACTATATATCTGAAGTTTTGACGGCAATGACAAACCTTGTGATTATAATAATTCATATTTTTAAGATAATCTTAAGATGAATCTTAGGACAAAGCTTACAATAGTTTTGTATACATGGCCGAAAGAAGCAAGTTCTGGAAGCCGGAGGGATTTCACAAGCAAACAAAAAACCTTAAATGGGACACAGCGTAAGGGTGGAGGGGCCCGGGTCGCTCTTCCGACTGACCTTATATATAGTCCAAGAAATTGTTCTATCTATAAAACCGTTTTCTTTTAAACATCATTCAATTTTGAGCGAAAGGTTTCAAGTTGTCTTAAGATTAAGATATATCTTGAGATTATCAAAAGATATGAGAGTTTTGTGAAACACCTTAATATTTGGTGCAGTCTTAGTCAAAAGATAGCAGTTATTTATCTAGATAAAAATTAGATTATTTTATTTGTTAACAATCAAGCAATAAACTTATAAGAATTTTTTAAACAATTGAACCAACATTTGTTTTTAAACTATTTTGTAAAGTTTATGTAAGATTAAAAAAGCATGCCTTATTGGATAAATAAAAAATAGACAAAATTTTGCCAAGTAATTTGAATTTAAGTTACCTAATTAATGGTATAAAACCAATGTTTAAAAGATAATACATACATGTACGAGGGTTATTCGGAAAGTTCGAGGACAATGTCAATCTTCGTTTTCTACTTTCAAGAAATGAAAAATGTGCACATTATCATATTTTGTTGATGCGCGAAGTTTCATCCCATTCAATATAATTCTTTTTGAATTGTTACCATAAAAATATCCTTCTAAATTCTTTTCAAGAAGAATAAAAACCGTTTACAAATTCATGTTAAATAGAAAATTATAAGCAGAATTAAAATTTGGTCTTAGGTGTAAGTTCTGTTGTAAAACGGACTCTTTGGTCTACAAGACATAAAATGGCTTTTAAAAACTTTGTTTAAAAGGTATGGAATTCTTTGTATATGGTACCCACTTTCACCAATAAAATTCTCTTAAATCAAATGCATTATATTTTTACTTTCCACCCATATCTATTCATATGTAAACAATCTTCACCACTACCAATGTTCATTCCAAATTTCACTACACCTCCCGATTTATTCTAAAACCAATTCCAAAATTGACCTTAGTTTTTTGAGGGCTTTTTTTACTCGACATCAGCTTGGAAATTGGCATCTTCGAAGCAAACTATCCATTCATAATTTGGAATATGAAATTCTTTTTTGTCATCTAGATTTTTTTGTCGTTTTTGTGCCATTTTCAGAGGAAATGGCTACAAACATTAGTTAGGGTATAGGTCGTAAATAACTTTTTCGTAAAATAAATTATGGCCTGTTCCACGACCCGATTTTCGCGTTTTTTTTTTTTGTTTTTTTTTTTACTGTGAATAAGATTTAAATAAATCACCATCATTATAACTTAAAAGTTTATAATAAAATTCATTTCAATTTATTATACAAACATTTGTACCAAATCTGGTTATGATATGACGTAATGTAAAAAAAAAAAAAAGATTTGACAGACGTTTACGAACTTTATTTCGAACAACCCTCGAATAGCTGATATTTTTTTTATCTGGAAATGATAATTTAAAATCAAAGAACTCGCCACGACAACTGAACAAAACATATTCAGATTTTTTTCGGGATTTGACGTCCATGGAACGATTTTAAACCAGTATCAGTCTCTTAAAAGTTGTTTTAAAGGTTCGGTTCTGTACATTTGAATTGCATTTCATAAGTTCTATCATACGCTAAGACTACAAGAACTCTAGTACATGTAGCTTTCAACCCAAAAATAATGTGTTGAGAGAGCACGTCGTCCTATGTACTTATTGTAAGTTTCATAAAATTTGGTTTCAATATCTTTGGAAATCAAAAATAAACCCGGTATCTCAGGTATTTTATTATCAGTGATAAGGCGAATACAATAAATAGTAAATTCCATAAATATGACCCCTTCGTGCGTGCGACAAAGAGATAAGATAGCTTGATCTTTGACATTTTATGTAATAAAGTAAGGCCAAGGTAAAGATTATTAGAAACACAAATTTGTTTTTAATAATACATTTTTGCATTTTACTTAGGAATAGAATAATACACA